TTTAGGGTTAGGTTTAGGGTTAGGTTTAGGGTACTGAGCGCTTGGGAATGCGTGAATTTGCCCTCCGCGATTATGTCATCGCGGTAGGGTCACGTTTTTCCTTAGCGCTTAGAACGGCGCAAATTAGTCTTCGCACTTATGTCTCCGCGGATAAGGGCTTCACGGATTTGTGGTGGAACCCTGACAAACAGGGTTCAACCATTTCCATCTGCAAAGGTGCCTTTCAGATACAACCAGAAGACCCTCTGTGGGTAACATACAGCGTCCAAACCGCATCTTGTTCCTTGTACAGTCATGGGACATCCACAAACTATACATAAACAGCATGGCCATTTCACCCGCTCGTGATTATCCAGATGTGTTGAGTGACACATCAGTGAATCAAGCAGCGATGACTCCACACAAAGACTAAAATATCCCTTTAGCTTTCTGAAGGAGAAAGTCAAGAAGAAGGAATGTTCTTGTCTAGCTTATTGGATTGCAGCCAGGATCAATTAGGAAGGGGAAGTGAAGAAGGCTACACCTCTTTGGAGGAAATATAGGGATTGCATGCAACCTTAAAAAAATAATCAGTGTATATGGAGATTCTCAGTCACCCAGGTCATGGTTGTCCCAAAGGTCGTAAAATGGGACATGACTCATTTAACAAATGAATGTCTCACTTAACAACATACATTTTGGGGTCAGTTATGGTCATAAGTCAAGGACTTCCTGTACTAGGATATTTTTCTGACCTTAAAAATGTTGCTCCTGCAGTCAAAAGTGTGGCCATTGTGGTCTTGTGTTTATTTATTGATTGTACACCACTTGTGGATCTGACTTTAGTATCACTCACTGATCAAACTACAGGCCATTCTCGACTTATAACCATTAATTTAGCCACCATTCGAAGTTACCATGGCAATGAAACAAAGTCACCTACAACCAGCCCTTGACTTTACAACCATCACACTTAGGGCTTGGTGGGCCGGGTGAATCTGGGAATCGTGATTTGCAAGCTTGTGGTTTATTATTTGGGACTTGTGCCACTGTGGTTAAATCATTAAGCTGTGGTTAAGCAAATAATTGTAATCTCCGTTTTCCTAGTCTATCTTGCTTCTTAAATGGACTCCTGTCCTTATTAAGACGGACTTCCTGGAAGATGGAGATTGTTTTTTATTCCCTCTTGTATCTTACAAGCCCTTTCCCTTGCTCCTTTTCATTCCCTCAATTGCCTCTTTTATTTTCTTTGTATTTTATATAGCAAAACAAATAAAAAATTAATATGTTAAAAATTTAACGAGGTACTAATACCACCCTATAAAGCCTTAGTAAGACCACACCTAGAATCCTTCATCCAATTTGGGTCACCAACCTATAGAAAAGAGGTTCAGACTCTAGAAAAAGTGCAGAGAAGAGCAACCAGGATGATTAGGGGACTAGAGGCTAAACGGTTGCAGGAACCAGGCATGGCTATTCTAGTGAAGAGAAGGACCAGGGGAGACAGGAGAGCAGTCTTCCAATATATGAGATGCTGCCACAGAGAGGAGGGGGGCCAAGCTATTTTCCAAAGCACCTGGAGGCCAGACAAGGAATCATGGATGGAAGCTGATCAAGGAGATTCAACCTGGAAATAAGGAGGAACTTTCTGACATTGAGAACAATCCACCCATGGAACAGAAGTTGTCTTTGAAGTTCATCATTGGAAGCTTTCAAGAAGAGACTGGACTGCCATCTGTCAGCAATAGTGTAGGGTCCCTTTCTTTTGGGGAGGGGGGTTGGACTAGATGACCTATAAGGTCCCTTCCAACTTTGTTAATCTGTAACATTTAGGAAAATCAGGAAGACCCTTAAAAAGCCATCAAAGTTAACTAGTTGGAAGTGTGATACATCACGCTCTGGCATGGCTTAGTTGCATTCAACCTTAAATGAACAAGCCAGCGCTTCCCACGATCCGGATTTCGGTGCGCGCAATCCTCCCAGCATCAGCCTCCCATCCCACCCCCCCACCCCGATCTTCCCGCCTCGGGATCCCGGACCCGCGCTTACCACTTCCGAAAGTGGAGAAGCATTGCCAGCCGCCCAGGAGCTGCCGACACTCCTTCCAAAGGGAGAGAGAGTAGCGTTCCGACGTGACCCAGGCTGGGCTCAGCAGCGCAGCCACATCCAGAGCCAGCGCCAGGAAGGCGCAGAGCAGCGCGATCAGCTTGAAGGGGCGCACCGTCAAACCCCTCTCCTCGGCCGCCGACATCCTGGCCCGGAGCACCCCAGACAACCGCGGGATAGAAGGAAGAACCGACGGGGGTGGGTGGGAGGGAAACGCGAGGAGAAAGCCGAGAAGCGCTTCGCTTTTTGCGCGCTTCCAGCGGTGGAGTTGGCCAAAGGGACGCGCGCGGCAGCCGGCGAGGCGAGGGTCCCGCCCGCCCCGAGGTCCGCCCCCTCCAGCCCCCTTGGAGGACGGCCGTCAGATCCTAGAGACCCCCCTTCCCCTGAGCCCGACTGGGGAGAACCCGCCGACGGGTGTGGTTGGCTTTAAGAGCCGAGGAGGGGGGCGAAAATCTGGACCAGCTTCGGACGTCGGCACAGAGGGGTAAGGGGTAGCTCTGCGCCCCCCCCCTCCCGTCCTGGGCTTTGAGCTCGGTTGGTTTTAGCCAAGGGGTTAGAATAGCTCTGGATCCTGATGTGTGTCTCTGCACGCGTTTGTTTTTAGGATGTCTTGTGTTTGTTTATCGCTGGCTTGGCAATCTTGAAAGTTGGAGTGACTGGACCTAAGGAGATGGAGGGTTTAAGGCTCCGTGGACCATTCCTCACCGCCAACTTATCATGGCCAACTGGCCACTAACTTGTTGCAGCGGGAAGAGAGTTATACTAATATCAAAGAAATAGTGGGATAGAATCCTTAAAAATCACACTTGGCCAATAAAGACTTCTCTTCTCAAGAAAAGATGCCAAAGGAGGGACAGAATGAGATGGGTAATGCCAAAAAATAATTAGAATTGTCAAATTGTCCCATGGTGAGTTGGCGGTAGCAAGTTGGCTTTGGCAAGTTGTCCTATTCCCCCAGTTGATCCTGGAACACTCTTGGTGATTTTGGGTGAGCTCCGTTTCCTCCCTCCCTTCCTCACCCTCCCTTTTTATGCCCAACCAACCTCACAGGGCTGTTACAATACAATACAATACAATACAATACAATACCAGAGTTGGAAGGGGCCTTGGAGGTCTTCTAGTCCAACTCCCTGCCTAGGCAGGAAACCCTATACCAGTGTTTCTCAACCTTGGCAACTTGAAGATGTCCGGACTTCAACTTCCAGAATTCCCCAGCCAGCATTCGCTGGCTGGGGAATTCTGGGAATTGAAGTCCGGACATCTTCAAGTTGCCAAGGTTGAGAAACACTGCCCTATACCATTTTGGACAAATGGCGATCCAACATCTTCTTAAAGCCTTCCAGTGTTGTTGAGGAGAGGGACTCCTTTCTGGAGTTTCCCAGGGAAAAGTGGAATATCAATGCTTTAAAGGAATGAATGGAAGTAAAGAGGTGGAATATAAGCGATTTAAATAAACAAATGGGTAAATGTAAAGAGGTGGAATAGAAATGTGTGAAATCAAGGCATAAACGAATGTAAAGAATTGGAATATGAATGCTTTAAGCAAATGAATAAAAAGGTGGAATATGAATAGTTTAAACAAATGAACACAGAGGTGGAATATCAATGCTTCCAAGGAATAAATGAATAATATAAGCAATAGCACTTAGATTTATATACCGCTTCATAGTGCTTTTACAGCCCTTTTACAGGGTAAATTATAAATGCTTTAAATAAACAAGTCAGCCTTAGTGCATTTATTTTGACATTACTGTCTTGTGGGAATGGAGGCCACTAAAAACGATAAAAACAGTAGAGGTTAAAGGACAACAAAATATACCGCACAGGCCCTAGTGCTGCAATTAAAATTGTGTTCAAAATAAAACACACAGGGAGATTCGAAACCACCGTCTGGTTGGCTAATGTGGGAACTTTTGGTCTGTGGTCTAATTCAGCTCCCCCGTTGTTACATTCTTCTGTTGTCTAGTGGTGATAAAGAGTTTACCCGCGGAAGACATGACCTGAATGAGAAAAAGCAGGACAGAATAAGATGGAATAATATTTCTGAGCGAGGAGGCCCTTCGAACAGGACTTTAGCCCGGATATCCAGACTCAAAAAAATATCGCAGAATGAGCTGGATCACCTTTCCAAATGCACAAGAACACTTATCCTTTCTTGGAAAACCATCCCATCCAAGCTAAAAAACATGGGATGACATTTAGGTAACTTGATTGCAAAGTGGTTTTAAAAAAGGGATACAGTGTGCTTTTAAACTCTGTCTGTTCCAATGAATACAGATGCATGCATTAAAACGAAAACAACAGATATTTTCCCCCTCAAAGCTCGTATTCATATCGTAATTCTTGATAGTTCATTTTTCTTTCTTCATAGTACCTTCCCACCTTCGGACTATAACCATGTTGCTTGTATCTTTCAATTTATATTGTTTTATTTGTTTCCTAATATGATTTGATAGCTTATTAGTAAGACTGTCACTAAGTATTGTATCTTTTATTCTTGATGAATGTATTTTATTCCCCTTAATGTACACGGAGAGCATATGCACCAAAGACAAATTCCTTGGGTGTCCAATCGCACTTAAAAAATTCTATTCAATTCTACCGTTTCCCTGAAAACAAGACCTCTCCGGATAATAAACCGAATTGGGCTTTTAAGCACATGCGCTAAAATAAGCCCTCCCCCGAAAATATTGCAACACAGCAGCAGCCACAAGGTGACCACGCTCACCGCCTCCTGAACCTCAAAAATAGTAAAGACCTCCCCAAAAATAAGACCAAGCACTTATTTTGGGGGTCAAAAGAAAATAAGACCCTGCCTTGTTTTTGTGGGGACTCAGTATTCTATTCTCTTGTGCGTGGATGACAAACTTGATTCAAACTTTCAAAGTTTTAAAAACTTTTTTTTAAAAGGGCCAGTAAAGCTGCGATTAAAGGGTCCACAGATCCTGTGGCTTGTGTGTACCCCACTTTCTCTGACATTCAGAAATGACAGGTGTTAAGCTCAGCTTTGTATCACGAGGCAGGAATGCACCCTTTTGTCCCAACCCGGTGCTTTATGCTTGTGAATCACATTTCCCTCCACCTCCCCGGGAGTTTATAAATAGGCCGGCCAGCTGCCAGGGAGCCATGAACTCAGATAATGCTGCTGTAAACATTATCCAGGAAGGACCGAGGAAACAGAATGGAATTCGAAAGTCTCTCGGAGGACCCCGCCCAGCCGATGCCAATGGCATGTGTGGGGACAGACTTCCTCCTCTGCTCGTGCTAACAGAACAACTTGTTGGCCAAAAAAGGTGCCATTCAGTCCGATGGTTCCAGCAAAGGCAGGAATAGCACATTCAATTGTTTGCATTTTTGTCGACGCATACAAGAAGGGGCACGGGGAGGTTAAAGAGAAGGGAGGCTTTGCTCAGAGGGAAATCAACTCGGCAGTAAATGGGATACGTTCAACTCATGAATTTGAAACAGAAGTATATTTTTCCTGTTCCGTTGCATTTTTGCAGGATGGCTTGTGGCTTATTGTAAACACCGCTGCAATGGAGTTACCCCCCCCCCCAAAAAAAAGATATGTTCCAGAGCATTTTTAGAGTTTAGGGGCCTGTGCAAATTGGGCCAGTTGATTTCTTAGCCTACAGCTAGAGCTGAGAATATAAGAACACGGGTAGTCATTGACTGCAAAGTGATCAAACCGGTCAGTCCTAGAGGAGATCAACCCTGACTGCTTCTGGCCAGATCCTGAAGATGAAACTCAAATACTTTGGCCACCTAATGAGAAGGAAGGACTCACTGGAGAAGAGCCTGATGCTGGGAACAATGGAGGGCAAAGGAAGAAGAAGGGGACAGCAGAGAATGAGGTGGCTGGATGGAGTCAATGAAGTAGTAGTAGGTGTGAGCTTCAATGGACTCCAGAGGATGGTAGAGAATAGGAAAGCCTGGAGGAACATTGTCCATGAGGTTGCGATGGGTCGGACACAAGTTTGCAACTAACAACAACAAGTTCTTGACTTACAACAGTTCATTTAATGGCCGTTCAATGTTACAATGGCAGTGAAAAACAATGACATGAGTGTTTTTCACACTGATGAACTTTGCAGCAACTCCAGAGTCACGTGATCAAAATTCAGATGCTTGGCAACAGACTATTTATGACCGTTGCTGTGATCCCCTTTCTGACAAGCAAAGTCAATGGAGAAGCCAGATCCACTTAACAACCGTCTTAGTAAACTTAACAACTGCGGTGACTCATGGAACAATTGTGGCCCCCCCAAAATGATAAAATAGGGGAACAGTCACTTATAGCAACTGTCTCACTTAGCAAACAGAAAGTTTGGGATCAATTATGGTTATGGTCGAGGATTATCTGAATAG